GTGAGGTGTTGAAGCAAATCAAGGGTGTTTAGGTGTAACTATCTGATTTCAACTTTTGGGTCATCATGGATCCTCTTCTTGGTTTCAAAGGACACCAAGACTGTGATGGAAAAGACGACCAAGAAGGTCCAGAAGCTTTGGTCGGGGCTCCGGAGGACTTTGGCAGTTGAGTGTTCATTCCATCCCAACCCATATCTTTTGTAATGCCCTTAGGGTTGCATGAGTTTCTTTAGATAGGCAATAAAAACATATACATCTTGATATATATATATATGTAAAAATAAATATATATATATATACAGATATAAATATAGGTAGCCACTTGCAATAGACAGGTCCCAGGTCCTATATAAATATCTTGTGCCTTAATTAATGTATCCAGTCGCGCAGGATGTGGCAGAACAGCCCTACAGCATCGAGATCCCCATGGGTCCAACAGCTCAAAGACTTGATGAAGAAACCAGCATCTGACACCTCTGAGCCTGGTAAGGGGTATGATGTTGGTGCAGAAACTGAAGAGCTTGGTGATGAATCCAGTGATGGTATTCCCGACCATTTCATGGGTGTGATTGATGAACCGGAATTTGCTTCGGATGAAGAGGTCAGGGTTAGGGCTGATACATCAACATTCCCCAACAAATTTCTATACTTAAGGTTCACCCAAAAACATGTTTGTTCCTTGGTGCCAAACACCTTGCTACCCCACTCTGCCCTGAGGAGAGCGACATCGACAGCGGAGTCTGGGCAACCAAAGACCTTGCAGAGTCTAGCAGTGAAGGGGGAGATGTGGCTGATCTTGGTGATACCATCCAAGGGGAGGAAGGGGATGAACAGTTGGTACTGGCTGATGGCCACTCATCGGGTCATGCTGATGCCCCATCAGATGGTGAAAACCCATCCCATGTTGAGGCTGCATTGGCAGTCTTCCAGCCGGAGGACATAGGGCCTCAAAATACAAAAGTTTTTCATTTGCAACTGTATATCCTTCATATCAACCAGTTCATATTTACCAGAATGTATATCATACTTACCCCAGTTTTCCCCAGTTCATATCGACATTAGTTTTGGATGTTTGGGCAGTGTATTGTTTTATGTCTAGGTTATAGTCTAAAACTATCCATACTTATTCAACAGAACTATCCATACTTATTCAACAGAACTATCCATACTTATTCAACAGAACTATCCATACTTATTCAACAGAACTATCCATACTTATTCAACAGATATTTGGTATCCCTGTAAAGGACCCAGCTGGCTTTGAACGAGCCCTGGATACCGTTGACCCTTTACCAGTTCTTGCTGAACCCAAAGCCAAGTCAGCCAAGCGCAAGCGCAATTCTTCCCAGTCAGGGAAGTCTGCCAAATCCCGGAAGTCCAAATCCAAGTCCAAGTCCAAGGGGCCAAAGTTGCCAGGCACACCAGAAGCTGATCATGCCTCAGCCGTGGACGCCGTGGACATCATCAATTCATTTCCCGAGATGTACCGGGATACTATCAAGGCGTTGCCTACTATGTTGTGGCCCACGTCTTCCAAGCATGGTGAGCACAGCTACACAGCGATCCTCGTTTGATAATCCAAAATGACCAGAACAATCAGAAACCAAGTTCTACAAACAGTTTTGTTCAGAAGAGTCAGGAATCATAGTTCTATTCCACAATCTTTTTTTAGTCATCCAATTCAATGTTATCTGCCTACGCAGCTTGGCTCTAAGGAGGATTGGGCAGGCTCGTGTTGAGGTGTTGCTTCGCCAGCAAGCTTTCAAGCCCAAGTGCAACACTTCTGGGGACAAACTTTCTGGGGAATCAGGCAAATCGAATCTCGAACGCATGCAAAATCAAATGTCCCATATACTAGAATTACAGGGTTGCGGGTGTTGTATCCTTACCTCTTTCTAAAACTTCAATCGTGTCGAATGCAATCTCAAAAGAAAACATATGCTGTAGTGTCCCCAAACCTTACCAGCTTTAGCCAAGGAGATCTTTTGCGAAGGACATCAAAGGCACTTGGGAAACAGTTTCCCAGATCATTGGAGTTACCATTGACTAGAGGACGAGCCGACCGGTGAATCCCTGAGGTATGTTGTACGAGCTAGAGTGGATGGTGTATGTCTGGCCTGCCCATAAGACATTTAATTGTTCGGGGCATGGACTGACGATCCCCAAGCTCAAGGGCCCAAAACCAGCGGGCAAGCTTTGGAGGGTTGCCTAGAGGTGAGATCAGAAGGTGATATTTCATTGTCATCACAACTTCCTGTGTATATGTCACTTGTTTTTTGGGGATGAGTCAACCTTCCAGCTTTGCCACTTAGATGTGTTGGGGTGGCTATGGGGAGCTCCCTGACCCAATTCTGAAGTTCCGGACATGTGGCCATCCATCACCGCGCCACCTGCATCGAAGAAAAAAAACAGTTTGGATGTTTGTCTTGGGATGTGCTAGTGACCCATTGCATGTCTCTATCGGACCCCCAGCTAAGGAATTGCATGGTGGCCAGATGCTGCATTTGCGTCTTAATTTGCTGTATTCTCCAGAGCCCTTTCGTTCTAGAGCAGCCTGGAAGCTCATTGTTGGAATGGCATCCACTCTTTCAACTGATTTGCCGCAAGTATCGCATCTATCGTGTGGTCTGGCTGAATTTGGGGCTTATGGGTTTGATCACAAATCGGTTAAGTGGCCAAGTCCCAAAGATATATCATGATACATCTCATGCAACTCAGGTGTTCGTGTGGCTTGGATCATATGGTGGAGGCAGCACCTGATCTGAATTACATAATCCACATGGTCCACTTTCCACACATGGCTGTAACCGAAAAATGGTGCATATCCCTGGGAACATTCAACCAACCTAAGGTCCAAAGGGGACACTTCTATATTCGAATTGTGCTTGGATCGAGCAGCTATACCTGCCTCTTCCACAAAATGTGGAATGGACAGCGGAGATGAGCAAGAAGCACCTTGGCAGCCAATGGGGGTCCATGTCCACCCAGTCTTTGCCCATAAATTGTGTATATGCCAATAATGAAATATAATGGAATCAATATGGGGAACAAACATCAGCATATATCCATAATGCACGGAAAGATCGAAATATAGTATGATATAGTATGTGTGGTTGCATATATATATATATAGGGTATATATATATATATACATATATATGTTTAGTTGTGTGCCCCCATGTATTTCTCTTCATCGAACCCTTTCATGCAATATGTGCACAGTATAGATAAAGGTAGATGTATAGACAGAAGGTAGATACATACGTACGTACACACACACATATATATATATGTACATATGTATATATATGTACATATATATATATACAGACACATACATACATACATACATACATACATACATACATACATACATACATACATACATACCTACATACCTACATACCTACACACCTACACACCTACATACCTACATACCTACATATACATACATGCATGCATACATACATGCATGCATGCATGCATGCATACATACACACACAATTGGATGTTTATTTGTCTCTTAATCGAAAAGGGTTCCCTGTGAACATGTGCACCATATCCCAAAGCTTATCATACATTTGATCCTTTACTGTCTTGAGCCCCCAAGGTATGTGGATCATGCAGGTGTGCCTCGTGTTTGCGGGGGGTCTGATTTGAAAGCAAGTCAGCATTACCCACGACTGTTTGGCCATGCTGTGGCCCAACTTTACCATCGACATGAACAAGATGTTCGGGGTGAAGTCAAACAGCGAGCGCCGCTTGGCAATCATTTACACAGATTCATGATTTTGTTTGTGGGGTCTGAAGAACCAATGATCTGTTTACACAGAGTTGCCACAAGCATTTGAACCTTCCAGAGTACAGAAACTATATACTATGTGGGGCAATGATGGATTCAGAAGTCAAAAACTATTGGCCCTTATTTGCTGTCCTCGCTATGTGTGAGGAAAGCCCTTGCAAAGCCCACCAAATCCATTCGCCGCATGAAGGACTGTTGTGGGGGCTAGAGTTGGAATCTGGGTTATCAATGGGATTATTGAGGTATGATATGAAACCATTTGAATTCTCATCCAGTGAGGTAAGAAGGTATGTGACTTTGCAAGGCAATGATTTCTGATCCACCACCCATTGAGTATCCCCATCTAAAATGTGGGTTATGAATTACCAGATATGCCCATGATGGGTTAAGTAGTGGATTAGAGCACCCATCTAAGCAAATCCCCATCATTATGAATTCCCATCCATCTTCATAGATACCCCTTTGGAACCTCTGATTTCCCACCAAACCATTGGGGGCCCGAATGCAGGACGGCTCATGGTCTGAATCTGCAGACCTGCAGCAAGTGCTGGATGCCATGCGGCGCTAGAAGATCTACATCATCTAGCTTAATTGGAGCTTGGATGGAATTCCTTCCAGCATCTGTACGGTGGGGTGGTCCGGGAATCCCATAGCTAGAAAATTTAGGAATATTTAGACACCCATCTCAAAAATTTGGGCTCCTTCACATTTTTTTTGGGGAAATCAAATGTCCTTTAATTTTTTTGGGGGAAAATCAAAAACCGGGAAACCGGGAAATTTCCGGGAAATGGCCGGGAAATGCCGGGAAATTTCCTGGATTTTGGGGCTTGCCGAAATGTTCCAATTTTTTTTGGATTTCTTACCGGTTTTGATTCTTTTTATCCAAGAAACCAAGAAATTTCCCGGAATTTCCCGGAATTTCCAAGAAACCAAGAAATATCCCGGAATTTCTTTAAGAGTGGTGGGATTTCACCGGACACCTGACCAAAATTCATCCCAATTTGCCAATTGACATGGCTTGAAGTGCTTAACAATCAGCGCAGTGAGGAAAAAAAAGAATCAATTTGGTAGCATAGCTGTGCATTCAGCCCACGATTGCTACTAGGTTGGCATATATGCATACGATAAGTTTGAGTTACCATACATAGCCATTTTCAATCAAGTTGAAGGGCTTCTGGTGCCTAAAGGGTTGATAGTCATGGCCCGGGACACCTTACCTCAGCCTACCCATCGACACCGATCAAAGTCAGCAGTTCGTGGCCGGAGTCCAGATCCAAAGTCGCTGAAGAAAGCAGCAGCAAGAGCCCGCAAGGAAAAGGAAGCAGCAGCTTTCATCACACCACCACCCAAGCGCAAGAACCGAAGCCCAGGAGCATCAGGTTCTTCAGGTGCCAAGTCTTCCAAGCCAGACCCAAGAAGGATTTCCTTTAGTGGGAAAAACACTGTGCACCCGATCGAAGCTGAGAACCAGCCACCCAAAGAGATAAGCCCTGATGAAGCAGATGAAATACTGCAGATGCTCAAGACCAAGGACCCCATCAAAGGAAATAATAACCTAGGTATTTCAAACGAGTTCCAGTAACCCAAGTTGTTCACTAAAGAGCCCCAGTAATCCTGCCCTTTCTTTGAAAGTTTCCTTTTCCACTCCTTTTGTTTTGCAGGACACCGGCAAAAAGAATGTCGACCAGTCCAACGAGTCTTCATCGGACGAGCAGGACAAGGCAAGGAAAGCTAGAAAACAATGGTGGGCCAGGTTTCAAGTGCCAGGCAAATACCAGAGGGTGGCTGGACATCCAAAGGAGTCTCATGGAACTAGGTCAACTGGAAGTGACAAAAAATCCATTGAAGCAATGCAGCAATGGTGGGTTAGGCGCAATCCACTTCTGGCCCAGGAAAACAAAGATGTAGGAAGGGCAAGTAAGAAGACCGAGAAAGCAAAACGCAAGAAGGCAGAGAAGAAAGCTGCATCAGAGAAAAGAGAGGCTGAGAAGAAGGAGGCAGAGAAGAAGGAGGCAGAGAAAAGAGAGGCTGAGAAGAAGGAGGCTGAGAAGAAGGAGGCTGAGAAGAAGGAGGCAGAGAAGAAAGCTGCAGCAGCGAAAAGAGAGGCTGAGAAGAAGGAGGCTGAGAAGAAGGAGGCTGAGAAGAAGGAGGCAGAGAAGAAAGCTGCAGCAGAGAAAAGAGAGGCTGAGAAGAAGGAGGCAGAGAAGAAGGAGGCAGAGAAAAGAGAGGCTGAGAAGAAGGAGGCAGAGAAGAAGGAGGCAGAGAAGGAGGCAGAGAAGAAGGCTGCAGCAGAGAAGAGAGAGGCTGAGAAGAAGGAGGCAGAGAAGAAAGCAGCAGCAGAGAAGAAAGCAGCTGGCAAGACAAACAAGACCGACAAGGCAGGAAGGAAGAGTGCAAAGGCAGGAGAGGAGAAGGACGTTTCAGAGGACTCGGATGAGGAAACAAATGATGAAGAATCGGCTTCCAGCAAGTCTGACAGTGATGATGATCACGAGAGCAGCAGCAGCAGCAGCAGCATGGAGCAGTGGTCAGACGAGGAAGAAAGTGAAAATGAGGAGGATGATGAGAAGAGCCAGGAAGAGTCAAGTGAGAAGGATGGTGAGGAGACGGAAGGAAGTTCTTGTGAGACACCAACGGAGACATCCACCACCAAGCCTGGGATCTTGAAGACAAGCACCCAGCCAGACCAGAAGGATGACAGCAACGCAAGTGATGAGGAGGATGATGTCTCGACCTCACAGGTCACCTTAGAGTCCGAGGACAGTCAGAGTGATGAGGCAAGCGAGAAGAAGAGAAAGAACAAGAAGAAGATCTCCAGGACTGGCAATCAGAAGAAAAAGGGAGAGAAAAGGGTTAAGTCTCAGAAGACAAAGGCTGAGAAGGCAGAAAACGAGGCAGGCAAGACCAGCAAGAAGCGAAATGCAGATAAGGAAGATAAGGAAGCCAGCAGGAAGGCGAAAAAGCTTTCTCAGGCTGAGAATGGTCTGCCTACGGAGGATGAGCAGAAGAAAGGGCAGAAAAATTCCACAACAAACCGCAAGGAATGGCAAGCTTTTGGCCGTTGGGCCAAAAACAAGAAGCGCTGCCCAGCACAGATCATTGCAGCATGCAAAGATCAGGACTCCGGCTCCCTATTTGTATTTTAGACCTTTGTAAAATCATCTTGACAAATTCAAAAATTCAAGACTGCCCATTCTTTGAGATTCACTTCTAACCACCGCTATCCATTCCCTAATGTACAGTATTGATGCCACAAGTATCAGATACATCCCTGCCCCCAATCATCAACATCCATGTCTTGCAGGACAAGCGCATGCAGATGTTCAACGACTACATGGACCATGGGAAGGACTTTGCTCAGGTGGAGGCTCTCTTCCAAAGCCGTTTGGAAGAGAGCCAGAAAACATCGGTCAAGTATGGATTTCGAAATGACCAATGGTTGAAGAAACACCATGGGGGCAAAAAGGCCGAAAAGATTATGGCCCGAAAGAAATCCTTGGGGCTGAAGCTTATCTCCAACATAGCCCTTCCCACAACTTTCCTTGCCTTGGCCCCTCAAGCTTTACATGCGAGCTTTGCCCATCACTCCTGCCAAGGACGATGGAGGACCCTGAGTTCCCTGGCGAGGAGGAGTACTTGTACTTCGTCCTGGTGGAATTCAACATCGAGGACATCAAGGAGTTGAAAAGAATCACCCAGTTAGAACTCACAGGTTCTTTGGATGCTGATGGTGTGAAGGCCTTTGTGGAGGTCTCCTGGCAAAACTGTTATAATCCCTTCCACCCAATAAGAAAAAACATACACCCATAGAAACTATGGATTGTTATGGGGAGTTCCACATAATTGATACAATGTAAGGGGTGTTATATTAGTGGGATGGGAGCTTACTTTCTAGTAAAAAATGATCATCCCAATTCAACAGACTGAAGGTCCCTGATTCCCGTTAGAAGTAGGGGAGCCACCATACCAACACGGTTTTAGTTGATCCCAATTATTCCACTTGAACTTTCCTAGGCTGGCGGATGCTTGGATGGAAAGCAACACCTTTCCCTGGGCGACAAGATGGGTGCTGATGGCATCAAGCGGATGCTGAGCTCTGCTGGGGTTGGGGCTGGGTCCAGTAAGACGCCTAAGAAGAGGAAGGGTGAGAATGGAAAGGGAAAGGGAAAGGATGGAGAAGCTGCCAAACCCAAGGAGGCACAATTCTTACATTTGTTTTCATCAATCACGGGGAATTCCATGCAAGGTAAAAGGCTCACTGCAACGTACTTTCACCACCCATGTTTCTACGGGGCTTGCTTCACCATCCACCACTGTACAGCGCAGGTGGTACCGGAGACACCTTTGGACAAAGCTGCCACTCTTTTGGCAACGGTCATGAAGGAGGCCAACAGTTGCCGGATACCAGGCTGCATTAACCACATCAGACCCTCATGTAATATCACTTAGCGATCCAATGTCAAATTGTGAAAAGCTTAGCAGCTCAGCATCTAAGGGACTACGCATTCAAGCTTCGGCCGATTTCAATGTCAGCAGATTTGATTCAGCAGTTGAAAGCTTGCTCAGTCAAGCTTGGGGTCTGTGCTGAAACCCTCCAGAAAAAGATCAACAACAAGTGCGACAAAAATAAGCACTATGCGGCCGTGATCGCAGAGGCCAATCATTCCAAATTCAAGACATCTCAAGAAATTGGTTTTAATTTTAACTTCAATGCCTCGGTTCATCCTTCAAGTGTTGGTTCTTTTGTGCCGATATACTTTGCAGTTCTTAGGCCCCAATCCAGTTTTCCATTAAACCCTTTACTTCTAGCCTTTTCCGTTGGTGCGCAGGTGAATCAGCTGACTGAGATTGCGAGGGAGAGGATCGAGCTTGCCAAAGCTTTGATCAAGGCAGTTGATAAGCCTAAGGCAAAGGCCAAGGCTGCACCAGGTCCTACGCCTGATGCTACAAAGGGTACTGGAGATCAGGGCGAAGCCAGCGCTTAGTCCTTTAGCTTCAGCTTGTTGTACAATCCAATGATATCTTTTGGGCAAACCAGCCAGTTCGATTTCGAACTCTGGGTCAAAGTTCTTGGGGGATTTTGGCATTGGCCCATAAACCTTCCCTGTTTGAAGGGGTAACTGCCATCTTAAATTGCAAGGTTTCCTATGCAGAATCAACCCATGTGTATTGTGTGGGAGGGCAGGGTCAAGTGCCACCAACTTACAGTTGCAAGATGCAACATCACTCGCAGCTTGGAGCATTCAGCGCCCAGAGAAAATTGTTTTGATTTGCTCCTATTGTCTCCATTTGATCTATCAGGGTTGCACAGGGTCATAGCAAAAGATTGTGGGTCATCAAAATAATATAGGGAGTTTGATAACCATGCATGGGATAGCCCCTATACGAAACCATACTTGGGGGTGCAGTTGGGGCTATGGATAAATATAACTATGGTTATAATCAGATCACATGATTACTTAACTATTTTTGGAATTTTTGTTAGATACCCAGCTATTTCCAATTTGAACTGCACCCCCAAGTATGAAATAATATATATAACTTCCCAATTGCACCCTTGCCCCGACGCAGGTGCCGGTCCAGATCTCCTCGAAGACCCAAAAAGGATGAGTTCAAGAGTGCCTCGGATAAGATGTGGCTGGAATGAAACGACCCAAGTGCAATGAAGACACTTTAGAGATCCTTATTCAAAACCCCATCTCTATTCAAAGCCCCATCCATTTCGAATCAAAAAACTCGTCCATGCCCTGAGGTATTCTGGCTTTAGCTTCTACCTCTTCAAAGAGGATATTGAAAAAGATATGCTCAGGTGTTTCTGGGTTGCATATAGCTGGGTTTCAATGGGGGATAGGGAATTCAAACATACCGACAATTCTTGATGAGGCACTGGGAGTATAGCAGGGTCATTAAATGTCCCCATTGAACATCACCCAACCATTAGATTCCATTAGGTATATGGTCTATAATGGCTACTATAAGGTGATGTCCAATATACGCAAAATGGGACATTTAACAACCCCTGTCAGGTTTCATGTGGTTACATGCATGGGGATCCCACAAGGGTTAGCTCGAGCTAAGGCTACTTCAGCTACAGATGGTTGCAGGGATGCTCGCGACTTGGTGGAGGACAACCTTTCCTGCCCCTTGGCAGTGGAGATGAAAAGATGGCTGAATGGTGGCCACGCAGAGCGATCTTTTGCAAGGCCCAATACAGTCTCGACAAGAAACAAGTTGTTTGTTTGATTTAAGTTATATAGATGTTTGTTTTCAAAAATAAATGGCAAGTTATCACACCAACCAAACTTTGGAACAAGTAAATGTTTCCAAGGCTTAAAAGAATCGATGTCGTTGAGCCCCATTATCCCACCAGGTGGTGCAAAGAAGTTTGCACAATTCAGCCTGATACAGTCGATATCCCTTTGATGATCACAACCAATGAGGGTGATGAGTTGGAAATGAACCAGCCCACTGCAGTCATTTGGCCATGGGATTATTTTCACCACTTGCACACTTCCGGAAAACTTTTGCAGTGGATATCTGACAACCCTGATGGAGCTTCAGCAAGGACAACCCAATATTGGGAACATTGCAAGCATTTAGACTTTTTCCAACGTGTGGGTCTGCCGGAAGACAAGTTCGGGTCTTGTGTGCCACTTTATTTTCACACAGACGGTGTGAAAGTCTATAAGAACCAAAAGGCATGGGTTTATTCGGTTAGCTCTGCCTGTCGAAAAGGTCCATCAATGTCAACAAAACTGGCCTTTATTCTGGTGAGGGATGCCACGGTAGTCAAGCGCAAAACTCATGATGCAATAGGGAAGTTGGCTGGGTACATTGTTGATACACTGATGAGCGGATGCTTCCCAGAGAAAGACTTTCAAGGAAACCTGTTCCCTCCGGGTTCCCTGGCTTCTGCAAGAGCTGGACAACCATTTGCACACGGCTGGATGATGGCCTTCGCAGCTTTCAAAGGTGATTGGGAGGCAAGGGTGGTTGTTCACAAGCTGACTCGGTATTACAGATCGACATTCATATGTGAGCACTGCTTGGCGTCATATAGGGATGATTTGACTTTTGCTGATTTCCGGGTGGATGCCAATTCACAGCAACTACGATTCTCTCACGATCAATTTTTGGCATTGAACCCACAACATGATCAAAGCTCTTGGACATCAGTAAGGGGATGGACAAAGGATCGGAACTTGGAAGAACCTCTCATTTGATTCAGTGTTTTCTATTTGGACACATTTTCAGACTGTGGCTTGTGGCAATCCCAATCCCCTGAAACCAAGCGAGCCTCAAAGTAATCGCTGTAGCATAGGACATCTCACGGCAATCCATCATCCACGGCCTCAATCCCATGTGCCCAGCCAAGGACCTCCTACATGTTTTTCACCAAGGAGTTCTATGTTGCGTGATTGCGGGGCTGATCTGCAGTCACATTGAAAGTCAAAACCCCTTGGTCACATTGAATCAACTGGACACATTTCTGTCAAAGAATGTTTACAAACACTACAAAAGATGGTGCCATGCGAAGGGGAAATTTGCATCAGCATGTTCCCACAGGTTCAATGCAATTCGCTTTGGGAAAGAACAGTGGGCTCAATATTGTGAACTGGGATCGGTCTACAAAGCTGCTGTGGTAAAATCGATGCTTTTTTGGTGCAATGACTTCTTGAAAGAACATGTTGGACGTGTACATGGTTCTGAAGCCAGGGCAAGATGCATACACAGTTTCGCAAAATTTCAATTTCTCCTTGACTCTCATGGTCCATTTTTCACAGGGGAGCAGACTACTCAAGTGGTGAAGTATGCCCGTGCTGGGTTACTATTTTACCAAGATCTGGTTGCAGAAGACAGGGCTAGGGTTGACGGCCGGAGGTTCTACAAAATGATTCCAAAATTTCACAGTCTTTTCGAAATGGCAATTTACATCGAGCAAACAAACCGCAATGTTCGGTTTCTTGGTTTTGGTTTGGAACCTCGTTTGGGGTAACCCCCAACTTAAACATTCAAAGTTCTTCCCATATCTGGTTTTTACTTTTGGGAAAAAATCCAAATCACCTATACGACCCCCATTTCCAGTTAATTACATAGGTCCACCAAATTTGGTTTCCAATCTTTGGTTATAAACCTGAAAATCCAAGATTTCATCAGGTATATCCCCATGGTATGGCCTAACACACTAAGGTATGAACACTGCTATCAAGACGAAGATCTCATGAAGGAAATTGGAAAAATTGCCTCAATGACCCATCCTTCAACGATGGACATGGTGACCCTCAGAAGATACCGTGCCGTGCTGGAACTTTGCAGCTGAGACACCCGGCCAATGGCCGGAACATGCCACAACCGTCGCGACCGTCGCGCATGCGAAAACCGGTTGTGATGTTGAACATGGGATGGAATTCAATGAATGGGGGCATTACATGTAAAAGGTGCATGGTGTCCTGTAAAAATAGTTTCTACATTGCATTATTTGTAGAACATCCATGGTACATGTTGGACAGGTGATGGAACCCCGAAGGTGTATCTATATATATATATAAATATATAGATTTATTTATTTATATAGTATCCATATGTATTTATATATATATATGGTTTAGGGTTGAGACTTTCCAGTCTAGTAAGGTTCTATAAATCAAGGTTTTGATTTTTTTCTGAAAATTTTCTGAAAAATTTCTGAATCAAATTTCTGAAATATTTCTGAAAAATTTCTGAATCCAGAGATTTTCTGCTGCCAACCATTCAAAAATGAAGGAAACTAGCTGTTTTGCTGCTATTTTCAAACTTTTTACGTTGCTTTTCTCGAATTTTGACGAATTTCAGAATTTTTTCAGAAATTTTTTAGAAAATTTTCAGAATTTTTTCAGAAATTTCTGAAAATTTTCTGAAAAATTTCTGAAATATTTCTGAAATATTTCTGAAAAATTATGAATCCAGAAATTTTCTGCTGCCAACCATTCAAAAATGAAGGAAACTAGCTGTTTTGCTGCTGTTTTCAAGCTGTTTTGCTGCTATTTTCATACTTTTTGCGTTGCTTTTCTCGAATTTTGACGCATTTCAGAAATTTTTCAGAAAATTTTCAGACAATTTTCAGAAATTTTTCAGAAATTTTTCAGAAATTTCTGAAAAATTTCTGAAAAATTTCTGAAATATTTCTGAAAAATTTATGCATCCAGAAATTTTCTGCTGCCAACCATTCAAAAATGAAGGAAACTAGCTGTTTTGCTGCTGTTTTCAAGCTGTTTTGCTGCTATTTTCAAACTTTTTGCGTTACTTTTCTCGAATTTTGACGAATTTCAGAATTTTTTCAGAAAATTTTCAGAAATTTTTCAGATTTTTTTCAGAAATTTCTGAAAATTTTCTGAAAATTTTCTGAAATATTTCTCAAAATTTTCTGAAAATTTTCTGAAATATTTCTGAAAAAATTATGAATCCAGAGA